AGCTCTGGCTTCTTGTCATCTTGTAGTAGTAATTGTAAATAGTGTAAATATTGTGTAAATTGTTGTAAATATAGTGTCAGTGAAAAGCGCGTGTGTTTTAGTTCCCTATCCAGTCGATCATCCAGTCCACCTAATTATACAGTCCACTAATTATCAAGTTATTTATCTTCCATTATGTGGTTTTGCACATAATTTTGGCCAGTTCGAGCCGGATACTGGATAGTTCGGAACCTAAAAGTGCTTTAAAAACCCTCAAAAAGTGCCTTTTTAGTGGTTATTGATTGTTCCATCGTGATTTTTGGCGCCATGTGATGCAAAAAATCAATCATCCACTGTGCAGTCTGCACGTGTCTCAAACAACGTTGGGTTCCACGTGCCACCAGCGAAGGTTTCCGCCGGAACCGGAAGTGCGTAAGTAGAGTGGGGCGGAGCAAACAAACTTCACTTGTCAAATTCAAAAGGGTGCTTCTTTTTCTCGTCTGGTTCAACCCAAGTCACCCCGGGTGCAGTATCCTTGCTTGGTGCAATGAAGTACAGCCCCGGAGCAACGAACACGAAAGTGAGAGTTCACCACCCCGACAGCTTAACCTCAAATTAAATGTCAAACATTTGTTTACGTTTTGTTGTTTGTTGTTTGTGTATTTTGGATTTTTGCAGTGAATTTGAGTGAATTTGCATTATTTTTGAAAAACTGAATTTTTCGCATTAATTATTGCTATTTTTTCATTATTTATTTAAAGGATGAACAATTATCCGTTTTTCGTTTTGTTAAGTAGTTTTTAAAAAAAAAATCTAATTTATTAGGTAATTTTAAATTTTGTTTATAGATTTCTTTTGATATTTTCTTATTTTTTTGATTGTAAACTTTGTAAATATGGCTACCAAAAAGCAAATTGATAAATTATTGTCAAAGAAAAAGCAAGCAATCGACTCCATGGTTAGAATAAGTCGTTATATTTCCGATCACAAATCTGATCCTGACAGTGAGTATAAAACCGACCAATTTTTAGTTCGGAAGGAAATATTGCAGGACAGTTTTCAAAAGCTTAAAGACATTCAAGTTGAAATTCTGTGCCTTGATGGTAACTATGATGATTCAATTGATGATGTAGAAACTCTTTTTTATGATGTCATTGTAAGTATTAAAAATTGTTTACCTAAATCTAATTTACCAGGACCAGCTAATACTAGTAATTTAGCAACTAATATTGCTCAATCGGTTTCAATTCCACCTACTCAAAGTAATAATTTTATTTCTGCTGCTAAATTGCCCCCAATCGAGATACCTACCTTTGATGGAAAAAATTTAACCAATTTCAAATCTTTTATCGATATATTTAATGCTGTCATCGATAAAAATCAACAGTTAAAAGATGTTGAAAAGCTCTTTTATTTGAGAAATTATTTGAAGGGTGAGGCTTTAAGCTTAATTGATAATCTGCCACTAATAAATTCTTCATATCAAGGTGCCATAGATATTTTAAATAACAGATTTAATAATGAAACTATGATCATAAATTCACATATTTTTTCTATTTTGGATATTCCTGCCATACAAAAAGGTACAGCTCATGCACTTAGAGATTTTGTAAGTCGCATCAAGCAGCAAATTGGAGCTCTCAAAAACCTAGCCCAGCCTGTTGACAACTGGGACATGGTGATGATTTGTATTTTAAGTAGAAAAGTTGACCAATTTACCAACAGAGCCTATCAAATAGATCGTGATAGTTCCAAATTGCCGACTTTGGATGAATTCTTGGCCTATTTAGAAAATAGAGCTACAGCCTTAGAGGCAACTAGTAGTACCCCAGAGCATAAAACTAAAGAAAAGGTTTACGGTTTATTAACAAAACAAACCAATGTAAAATGTCCCTTTTGTTCAATATCTGGACATAAACTGTATAATTGTAAAAAGTTCAAATCCGTACTAGTAAAGGATCGTATATCTTTTGTCGACAGACAGAATTTTTGTAAATTATGTTTGAATATTCATTCTGGAAAGTGTAAAATGTTGTTTCGGTGTGGTATGTGTCAAAAGGAACACAATACCCTGCTGCATTTGGACAAGCAATGTGAAAATAATAATTTTCCTACTGAACGCAGAGTCATGTATTCCAATGCCTCACAGCAAGAATCTGTACTTTTACCTACCTTAAAAGTAAAAATTAAATCTAATAAAGGCAAATATATTTACGCCCGAGGTCTGGTTGACACCGGCTCTCAGATTTGTTTAGTAACAAACAGTTTAGTTGAAAAGCTAGGATTAAAAGCCTTTAATAGTTCTTTGAATATCACTGGCATATCGGAGACTAAAACTAAAATTAATAAATCAATAAATTTAAATATTGAATCTTTGGTTTTTGATTATTCAAACCAAAAAAGGTATTTATCTCAGATCGGTTACCAAGATTGCAGTGTTACCGATTGATGACAATAATTGTTAATAATATTTTTGAAAATTATTCACAAAATTCTGTACATATATTTGTAAAACATTTAGATTTATATTTATATTCAATTAGCTATACTCGTATATACATACATAATGTCATACTATGTGTTCCAGAAATGTTTTTAGCTTTAATTGTTAGTTAAGTTTTCGTTTACTGGATCATCATTGAAATCATACCTTTTTTTTAAAAAAAGGGTTGCTTACTTTCTCTTTAATTTTTTTATTTTTTTTGCTGGAAAATTTTACCTTGGTTTCATGTGAAACTCTAGGCCCCCCAGCATGTTGGAAACATGTTCCAACAATCATGCTATCTCTTTTTGATGGCAAAATATTTTTATACATATAAAGTTTGCAACACTGCAGCGTTGTCGTCATGTCTATTTTGTCATGTCTGTCAATATATTGCGCGCCATTTTTGTCATTGCAGCAGTGTAGCTTGGAGCTTGTCCACGTTAACAAGCATCCAGAAACCTTTTCACATTTTAATAAATTTTATAATCTAGCTCTGCCCTGTTGGGCATCTAAGCAAGCTCTGGCTTCTTGTCATCTTGTAGTAGTAATTGTAAATAGTGTAAATATTGTGTAAATTGTTGTAAATATAGTGTCAGTGAAAAGCGCGTGTGTTTTAGTTCCCTATCCAGTCGATCATCCAGTCCACCTAATTATACAGTCCACTAATTATCAAGTTATTTATCTTCCATTATGTGGTTTTGCACAAAGTGCTTATGGTCAAATCTCAAAACGCCTAAAAATAAAAATAAAAATAAAAATAAAAATAAAAATAAAAATAAAAATAAAAATAAAAATAAAAATAAAAATAAAAATAAAAATAAAAATAAATTATATTCCACTTACAGTGCATGTAATTTTTATTTGCTAATCACCGCCATGCACGTTCTCAAGTCATCACTAGATGTCGCGCCCTTCGTCGATTATCGCGAACTGCTTAACCCACAAACAATTAGTCAAAAAAGTGTCAAACCTTCAAGTGGTTTTTTCAACTTCGCTCCTCAAAAGGATAACGCACACCTAACATGGGATTTTTGGGCTCTATGGATTTTGTCCATTTTTTGATATGTTGTAGAGGATTTAATTCTGAACAACCTTTAAATAGGACGAACTCTTGTATAGTCTGGCAAGTGGTAACTTGGTAGAGACGAAAGGGGGAAGAAAAGTGGGGCGTGACCTAAAAATATTCACTGACACCACCTGATGACAGCCATGTCTTTCCGTTCAGTGGCACCGAAAACATTAAAGAAATAAACCAATAAAATTATTAGAAAAAAAATTCTTTAATTTCGCCAATAACCGCGCCACTGCGTGCTGTCGTTCAAACTCTAACCAATAGAATCATACCTTTGAATAATCACGCCTCTCCACATCCATCATTTCGCAATGTTGCCGGATTTTTTTCTATTTCAAAATACTACACATGCCCATATAGCAAAAAAAAAATATGTCATCAACTTGTTTATCATTATTTCCGTCAAGTTTGGCAAAGTAGCAAATTCTTTTGCAGTTCGCCGTTTCGCTAGCCAGACAATAGGTACCACGGTCTTTGAGATATGAGCGTTGAAAGATGATTTTTTTTGCAACTTTTTGTGTGGAGAGTATACGAAAAACTGGTGTTTTTCAGTCAAAATATTGACAGGTTGACATATTTCACGTCACTAATAAATGTCAACATAGACTAAGGCCGAGACCGCACTGGCGCCAACATCGACCCCAGTGCGGTCCTGGCCTTAAACTATGTTGACATTGATTTGTGAGTGACGTAAAATATGTGAACCTGTCAATATTCTGACTAATAAACACCAGTAGCACCATAATCTCGTATACTCTCCACACAAAAAGTTGCAAAAACGTTCCTGTTTCAACGCTCATATCTCAAAGACCGTAGTACCTACAAGATTTCGTCCCATTTAAAGGTTGTTCAGAATTAAATCCTCTACAACATATCAAAAAATGGACAAAATCCATAGAGCCCAAAAATCCCATGTTAGATGTGCGTTATCCTTTATGATTTTTGAATTGTTTGAATTAGTTTTTGACTAATTTATCAAGTGGTACTCTCAATTTCATACTTAACTTTGTATGTTAGCAGATAGTTAGAAGTTACGACCAGTTTTTGGATTATTTCTCTCAGTGGGACTAGGAGGAGGGTAAGTTCGTTTCATGCGAGTTGTTTCGCAACGAAAACACAACACTGGACATCCCCTCTAGGTTGTATTTTGTACTTTTCATTGGAATAATACCTTTTTTTCAAAATAAAACAATGGTAAAAGAAAAATCTGATTCCCTAGTAGCTTGCAGCTTTGCAGTTAAATGGCGCCAGTTTTGTTTGGAGTTTATTTCTCTCTCAAATAAAGCGCAATTAATTGGAACGGGCCAATAATAATTACCACAGTTATTTTCTTTATTTATATTTATTTATTTATTTAACAGTCAAATTATTTTATAATAATTCTTGTTTGGGTACTTCAGCGCTTGCGGCTTAAGGTGGCACTGGATTCAAATTTCTGATTTTTTTTTCTTCAAGTTTTTCATAATGGATGGAAAAAATGAGCCATGGTCTGACGACGAGAGAAATCTCTTGTGGCTTTTGTCACACGAATACGGTTTATCAGAGTGTCTGCAGCTAAAAACATGGAATCAAATCAAGACCAAAGACGAAAGATTCGCTCCACTGTCAAAGCGATCGCCCGACGCTTGTAAAACGGAGCTAAAATATCTCTTCGGTTCCCGAGTATTTCTCAAAGCTGCAAAAGTGGAATATGCTAAGTTCTATGTCTACGAGCGACTGGCACATGGCAAAAGAAAAAGTATGTATTTTCTGTGTGTTATCTTATGCCGAATTTCAGCATTTAATCAGCCTATAGCCACTATAGCAGTTATTCATGTTTACAGGAAAAATCGTTGCACCGAAAAAGCACCATAAGTCTTCTGAGTCTGACTATAAAGCTATTGAACCCACCGCATCAGACGTTACCGAAATTGAACCCGAGTTGGAAACGGAGGAAGTTTTTGAAGAGGTAAAATATTTCGAAAAAAAAATTCCTGTTTCGATTACCCACCTGTTTACATATTGCATAGCATACCATACCGCACAAAAATCTCTCAAAGACGGTTTGTATAATGCATAATTGCCAAGTCATAATCATTGCCAATCACAGGTCACTCCAAATCAGTTTGCCATTTTTGTTTAACAAAAGAATTTCAATAATAGTCTTTCAACTTTCCAGAACGTGTTCGGACCTACCACCGCAAGTGATGATTCCGACGTAAATGATTACCCAAAAAATGCCGATTTACATGTCGAAGAAGGCGTTTCGTATGAATCGAATTCATCAGACTCTGAATTCCAAGTGGCAACACCTCCATCTTTTCCAGAACCTGACATGTTGGACATGAGAGAGCCGTACACTTTAAAAAACCTCACAGACGGAGTGTCATACACTTGCGATATCGACTCAATTGCGGTCGTAACAAACCGACTTTCGCAACATTGCGTAGATTTAACGATGACATTTAGCGTTGACGCTCGACGTGCTTACCCTACTAAAAACCTTAAAATAGTTAACAACCTCCTGGGTCATGAGGAATCCAAATGGTTTGAATTCAAATTAGGTTTAATAAATAGCGGGAATTACCTGAACGTTTTATTTCAAAGGGATCGAGAGACAAACATTGGCGAAGCCAGAAAAATTTTCGTCATCCGATTTTTGCAAAGAGCAATAAATAGTTTGCCATCAAATTCGAAGACGTCTGTTCATGGAAGCGGCCTCAGACGTTGGGGCATTAAAAAAAGGTGCGTCATCTACGGCAGCGATTGGCCACTGATTGCGAAACGTTTAGACAGTCTAATGGAATCAGAAGAAGGGATGAAAATTTTACACTTCAGGCATGTCCACTTCTACCAGGCACGCCATGGTATGCTACTTGAAGACGCTAATAGAGCCAGCAGTATGGTGAGAAGTATGATTTCCAGTGTTTCAAATGAAAATGTAATTGGCATCCAGGCCCACAAAGCAATAACCATCAAAGCTGACGACGGTGGTGCTGTATTTGTCTCTCACAAGGCTTTGCGAAAGCACGCAAATTGGAAATCCCTGAATATGCCAGAACCAGCATACCTGGCCGGTCATGGTCATTTCTATGGAAATTTGCGGGGCTACCGAAACGTCAGTTACATACAATCATACGATCCTGAGGCACATTTGTATATAGATAGAGAATACGTTGACGCCGCTACGTATCTCATTGGCCGCGGTCTGACCAAATGTACAAAACGTTTACTGAGCATCATTAAAGCTCGAACAGGAAGCTATCTTGTGAGTATTGTACATGCGTTGGAAATACTGCAACAATTTGGACATAGGTCGAGGTTGGAAGTTGTGGAAACATTCAGGAACGTTGAAGATTTCTTTGACACCTACTCCAGCCACGAAAAGTTTGTCAAAAGTTGCGAAATTGTGGCCAGAGATTTCATCGACCAGTTTTCAACGATAAATCTTTCGAAAAGCCGCGTTTGGATGTTGAGATGAATCGAACTACCATAGATGATAAGGAAGAAGAGGAAGAAGAGGAAAAAGAGGAAGAAGAGGAAGTAATCGAAAAAGAGGAGGAAGAGGAAGAAATGGAAAAAGAGGAAGAAGAGGAAGGAATGGAAGAAGAGGAGGAAGAGAACGAAGAGAAAGAAGAAGAGGAAGATGAGGAAGAAGGGGAGGAAGAAAATCATCCAAAAGATGAATTAATATTGAATCCTCAAGTTATACGAGCTTTAGACGAGGAAAAGGGCGATCTCGATTGGCATCACGACGTAGATTCATACGTTGTCGTCGTTAGAAGCCTACAGGCATCAACAATTAGCTCCACATTTTATGTAAACGTGAACGCAAGAAGAGCAAAGATTTGTCCGCAAAAAAAGGTGACTAGTGCCCTTTTTGGTGACAAGTCAGGAAAATGGTTAGAGTTCACTCTTGGGAGCGCTTGTGGTCATGACATAAAATGTATTTTTCAGTACTCCCCTTTTTCGAACGTTTCTGTCATTCGACAATTATTTGTTGAGGAAATTTTGCAAAAAGCAATCAATGACACTTTGTCACCAAACAGCAATACCATAACCCACGGTGCTGGCGACAAGAAATTTGGCACGAGATTGAAAATTTCAATATTCCAAGAAGACTGGCCAGCTGTGGCCCGAGAAGTCGATCGCATTGTAAATTCTCGCATCGGCTTTCGACTTCTTCACATACGGAATGTGCACTATTATACAGCTAGACACGGTCAACGCGAATTGAACTTTGACAAGGCAAAACAATTTTTCGTTAGTAGCATCGAAACTGGATACGAACACATGCTAGTGGGACTGCAGATTCACTGCGCTAGCGAAATATCATCAAAAGATTGCGGCGCAGTTTTTGTAAAACACAATAAGATTGGGAAATTTATTGGAAAATAATTTACTGCCAACACCAGGCCAGCTTTTCTGAAGCGAATTGGTTATACATACGGAAAAATCACTGGCCGCAGCGACGTTTTCCCCAACATGACGTATTTCCAAACGTATGAACCGGAAGCTCACAGGTGCGCCTTTAAAATTTGTTTACATTTTTGTATTTTTTACTCTATTCCAGATTCAAAAACAAAGCCTTTTCTTGCCCCGCTACATTATTGCTAGGACGCGGTATGACGAAGTTCGAAACAAATAATATTAAAAAATTTAAAATTATTAAGCCAAGGACACTTGCAAACTTGAAGGCAATGATCTCTTCTATCGAGTCCTACCAGACAAACGGATACCGCCTTCGGATTGAAACTGTGGAAACTTTTAAGGCCGTTTTACAGCTTGCAATTCAATCTGCAATATGCAAGAAAGTTGAACGAGGGCATGCGCAGAAGTGAGTCAGCTGATTGTTTTCTGCAAAATTCTTGAAACTTGAATGGCATTGCATGCAATCGGTTTTGTGCCATTTTTCTTGAAGGTTTTCCCGCAAGTTGGGGCATTTTTAGCAAATATGATGCCTAAAGTTGCTGCTATTGTTTTCCTTTTTTCATATCGACTTATAATCACTTTTTTCATTTTTGGATAATGCAAACATCAACAACACAACATTAAAAACAAAAAAGTATGGTTAAGGTTATAGAAGGAAACAAGTCAAATTGCAAAGTGTAAAACGATGTGCAAGAAATCTTGAATGCAATTTTTTTGCATGCAACAAATTGCATTCAAGTTTTCTTGCAAGCCGTAAAACGGCCTTTAGAGATTTCCAAAATTTCAATAAAGTGTTCAATAATTCCGACTCTTTTTTGGAAAACAGAATGAACGTTTTGATGGTAATGGTTCAAGCTCAGGCATTGGTACGACTGTCCAAAGCGGATTGGCAGAAACATCTCGAGACTTGCGGCATTCTTCGGGACGTCGAACGCTTGCGCCAGGCTTTGAATATATTCGAATGTTTCGATGAATTGAGAAAGCTCCCGAAGTTATCAATCAAAAATATGGTCATTGGCGACGAGCCCTTAAACGATAAGGTAATTATGGAGGAAAACCAAAGAGCACGAGCCATGACCAGAAAATCCATACGTCATATAGCGAACATTTAGAACGTGCTTCTCCTAACAACGATATCGATCGAGATGATGAAAAAGAAGCGGCGAATCAAACCGACTCCGACAAAGAATCTTCCGAAGAAGATTTTCACGACTCTGATGATGCGCCATTTTTCACCAAATTGGCAAATTCAGTACCATTTATTCCAAATTTTCTCAAACCACACGAATTGCCATTAGATTTAGAGGGCGGTCCAATTATAATGTCATCACTAGAAGTAGTGAAGACATACGTCGCAACAATGCGCATCACGTATTTTCTGGAGGGATGTACCTTGAAAGGTAAAAAACTGGATCTGGATCTTCTAAAACATTTAATTGTAATAAATAGGCGTAGTGAAGTGCAATGCCTGAAAACAGTTGAGGAACTCTTGACCGAATTAATTCCAGTCATGCGTCCACAAGTTATGATGACATTTGATAAGCAAATGCATGCCGTACACGAAGCAATACAAATTGCAGAAGAGAAAATTAATTCTAGCGCAGCCTCCGTTGATGATGACACAAATACTTTCGAATATTGGACTACAGCATATGCTCACGTAGCGCTTTTTTATCTACAAAAATGCCGAAGCAAACGTTGCGAAACAACTTCCAAACACTGAACCTACTCCCAGCTCATGACTTACATAAATATTGAATCAAAGTCGGAGGTTTTCTTCCATCAAATAACGTTGCTGAAAACTATTTACATCCAAAATCAACAATTGGGAATTGGATCTTGTCATCAACTCGTGTAAGTTCAGCAAAGTTGAAAGATGGAAAATTTCGAGAGAAATTATTCAAGTATGTGAGGAACAATGTGCCTATTTACCCACGGAATATTTATAGTAACGATAAGGTTATTTATAGTAACGATAATCGCTGATTCATGTCGAGTTGTATGTCTTTTTATAGGTTTTCGGGGTTGAGGATTTAGAATCTGAAGTTATTTTTCACCTATCTTGAATTTTTGAGATGAAAAATATGGATAGTCGAAAATTAATGTTAAATTCGGAATCCTCGACTCCAAAAACCTATATAACGACACCAAACACGGAATGATTCGTTAAATAATGAATCGATGATTCGTTGCAAATGAACTAGAAGCGCTCCAGAAGAACTAGAAGTGGTCCTGAAGAACCAGAAGTGTTCCCGAAGAACTACAAGAAGCTGTACAAATCAGCAGCGTCCTAACAAAAATTTCAATGATAAGGTCGTTTGGTGCGTATTGTGTAACAAAATTTCGATTTGTGTTTTAATATGTTAATTCATATTACTAGAACTAGAAGCGCTCCTGAAGAACTAGAAGTGGTCCTGAAGAACTTGATGTGCTCCCGAAGAACCAGAAGCGCTCCCGAAGAGCAGCCGCTCTGAAGTTGGTTCCAGAAGAGGAGGTCCTCTGAAAGCAAAGTCAAGCAGCTGGTGGTCGAGTCGCAGGAACCAAGACGGTCAAGAACAGCGGACGCATTCATTTATTTGTTTATTTATCTATTTATTTATTTATTTATTTATTTATTATTAACCAGATGTAAATACAATGTGCAAACAGATACAGGCTAGGTTCGGTAATTGTATCTGCAAGTAAAAAGAGCAAATATTGATGGACGTCACGTGATCACTATAAGCCCAGTTGTACAATCTTGGTTCAAAACATAGTTTAGCTGAACTTGACTGGTACTATTGGAAATGTTGTGCTGTCAAAATTGATAGAATTTGATTAATAGCTGATAACAATGTATTTTAAATGGGAAAGTTCAAACACCAGTCGAATTTGAACCGAGATTGTACAACTGGGCCCTTTTTTTTGCAATTACCGAACCTACCCACTAATAAGTATATAAGTAGCTATCTCTATATCCTGCGGTTACTTCCTGATCAGTATGCAGGCCAGGGAGAGTTTATTTGAAATCTGCAATGCGAAATCGTCTCACTAAGGCACAGTTTTTAGCAGTGAAATACCGGTAAAAATTGTGACTTACTAAGACGTATTCGAATTGCACATTCCAAATAAACCTGCCCTGGGTGGGAATTAAAGTCAATTCACTGTTTACCAAGCTATTTTCTTAATTTCAAACCTAATTGCTGAGATTTCATTAGGAGTTCATTTAATAATAATAGTAAATTATAGATTTAAATAATAGTATATATTGATATAAATGTATAAGAGGGCCTTTCAAGCACGCGCGACATATTCCAAAACACGACGTGCAGCAGAGCGATTTGTAAGTCGCAAGGGCTTTAAAGGCCCTCTTATACACGCATATCATACACTATTTTTTATTACGAATACATCATAATCTTAAAAATGTTTTAAATGCGTTCAATCATTTTGATAAATAGTAATTTAAACTACAGTTGAATACCCAGGTAATAAAAGTAGCTCAAACCTTTCTATAGCAAACCTTTGAAAAGGTAGGCGCATCATAAACGTTACTTCAGGCACGTTGCAGCATGCGATAATCGCTGATTATGATGCAGGCGTAATAAAAATACTACACAAAACCAGATATTTCAAACAACCATAGCTTTTTTTTCAAATGAAATATACCCTTTATTTCACTGTAGTAGTAGGCACGGATGTGCCGTAGATTATGAAATCTACTTTACGCGGTTTGTCTACTCGTTGTCTACGTATTGTTTACATCCACTTTTTCCATGTAGACAATGTAGACAGCAGAAAATTTGAAATTTGAGTAATTTTTTTGAAAGTTTGCAATGCATTAAATTTATATTGTATCAAATTAGACATTATCTGCAGTTTACAAAGCAAAAAACAAAACAAAGCAAAAACAGAAACATAACCTTAAAGGCGTAAAGGCCTGCCAACTGTCAAAAATTGTATACTTTACGCATTATCTACATATTTTACACGGATTACGAACTCTCGATTCGAACCGAAACCGCCATGGATTTCGAACGCATTCTGATGCATTTGCATGTAGTGCGTTCAAAATCCATGGCGGTTTCGGTTCGAATCGAGAGTTCGTAATCCGCCCCCTGATTTTTTCAACGAGGCGTAGCCGAGTTAAAAAAATAGTCGAGATCACCAAAGTATTTCGCGCCAGACTTGAAACGAAGCCAAAATTGCATTTTCAATCAAAGGTAAATGAATTTTAATTATTTTCGATTTCCTCACAGGTATGTGTCACCATGACACCCAGTGTGCGAACTAGCTATTTCGCGCACACGTGCGCGAAATAGCTAGTTCGCGCACGGCGTCATGGAAACGTTAAAAAATCAATACCTGGGAAAAAAAGTGTCACTTCGCAAACTGTCATGAGTGTGCGAACATCATCATTTTTTGACAGTTGTAGAAAAAATATATTATACATATGTGTAAAAATAGTATATTACATTACGAGTGTAGAAACTAACAAATTTCTCACGAGTGTTTTTTCGCGCGAGGCGGTAGCCGAGTGCGAAAATCACATAAGTGTCTGAAAGACGCTTTCTCACAAGTGATGTTTACACCATTTTTCCTACGACCAGAAACCGATTTACACCAATTTTCTCCTATTTTATTTCCTTTCATTTTTAACACACGTGCTGAAAGTACTTTGAACCCACTTATTGAAAGAAAATTGTGATGTGAATCATAAAAAAGTACTTTCAGTACACGTATTGAAAATAGTTTCGGTACGCGTGTGATATTTAGCGCTTTCCAAAGAACCAACTTATGCGGATTTTGTCATTTTCGTATGTGCTCGTAGGAAAAAGATTTTTAGTAACAATGGTAATGGTAGTCATGGGCGTCGTTACGAGGTTTCTCAGGGGGGGCAGTATTATAATAAGACCATTTCTATTTAGCGCCGCAGGCAACTGCCGTAGGCTAATTTTTTTTAGTGCCACGCCCCTTTTTGAGCATTTTAAGGTACTTAGTTGATATCGATATTTAGTTAAAAATTATGGTATTTTTTTCCGCAACAAATTCACTGTCCGCATCATTTGTTCAGTGGCGACGCCAGGGGAGGGCCAGAGGAGGCCGGGGCTGCCACTGAAATTTAGCCGGCCCCCCTGAAAGCTTGCTCTCATGTCGGCAACAATGCAATGTAACATCAGCAGCCTCTGTCGGATAATTCGGTATTCGGTGAGCACAGGCCAAGAATTGTAAACTAACAGGAATTTTCATCCTCATAGGCTTACGTTCGTCAACTCTCGAGTCGGCAGGGCCTGCGAGTGACGTCACTACTTATTAGCAGCACAAACAGCTTATAATGATGACGTTACCAGCAGGACTCGGTAGGATGCTTGCGATTCAGGTTGTACTTGTTTTTTCGTCAATTTTAAATGTAAAAAAGGTGATTTTAACAAGATTATAACGATTACTGTGACCTGTGACTGTTTTTAACTCGGCTAATGCATTTTACGCCAAGTGTTGACGTGTTCGGCTGAGATAGCAGACATTTTCAGCTCAAGAAGCAATCCTATTATGCCGGTTTTCCACCAAACCGACAAAACAAAAACACAACTTAAACTCAGACAAAACTCCAACTTTTCCCAAACATTTTCAAGACTAGCGTGTTTTGCGACAGTTGGAGTTTTGTTTTTCGGGTCCTGTCCGAAAGTGGTAAATATGAAACTCAAACACAGACTCGAGTCTGTTCAGTTTTGTTTTTGTTTTAAAACATGTTTTAAAACAAAAACTCAACAGTCCGTTTGGTGGAAAACCGGCATTAGGTTGAGTGTTCTTGGGCACGGGCAACTAATGCTGCTTTCAGTTTCCTGGGATAACCTCAAACATAATAGTGTCGACAGGTACTTCCCATTTTTTATTCCAAAGAAGAAAAGCAGTAAAATAAAAACAAATGCCCCCCCCCCCTAAATTTTTCTGGCCCAGTCTGCCCCCCCCCCCCCTAAAATAGAACCCTGGCGTCGCCACTGCATTTGTTTTAGGGATGTTGAAATATCGATATTTCGATATATGTATCGACAAAAAAATTAAATGCTCATTTACGGGTTGATTTCTCAATAGCGAGTCACCTTCGGGTTGGTTTTAACTCGAGGGTAAGCGT